ACCCATGGAGTGACCTATACCCAAAACATCTTCATAAGGCCGAAACAAGACTTTCCCAACCTGGTAACCTTTTGCCATGGAATGAGTCATATAGCTGCTATAATTCTGAGATCCAGAAAAATTGACTAAAATTTAAATAAATGATCCGGTTCCAGCAGCAAGCAAGCCTTTCTGACTGAAATTCAAGGTCTTTGCATGGCATGGCAATGTTTGGATAACCTCAAACTTCCTCAAGTCCCAAATCCTGATTTTATTTTCTCTCCCAGATGTAGCCATGAGATGGCCATTGGGATGGAATGCCAATGATGAGACAGGTCCAGGATGACACAGCATCTTTACCAGAGGGACAGCACTGGTGGGCTTCCACATTGTTACTGTACCACTTGAATGGCCTAATGCAACAACCCCGTTGTATGGATTGACCTGCATAGCATCAGTATGGCCTAAACCAGTCCGGAAGTTACCTATGATCTCACCCATTGTAACATCCTGATAATGATGCTGCCCAAATTTGTTTATGGATGCCAAGAGGAAGTGGTTTTTAAGAAACTGGAGTCTTAGTACTGCACCATGCTCTAAAGAGTAAAATAAAAAACAAAATATCTTACCTCAGTTTGACTAATGTATCTCGAGTAAATTTAACAACCAAGAAAAGAATGATGCCAAAGTTGAGTTGTTAATAGTGAATTTAGATTCTGAAGGTGTAGACTGTGCTAAAAGCAAAACATTTCCTGAAGGTAGTATATTCAAAGAATCGTGATCAGATTTAATGTGCCCGTGCATTATCCAAAGCGCAGAATAAACAGAAGCAACAAACACGACTGGGCCAAAGCAAAAACAAAATAGCTGCAGAAATAATGAGTAAGAATTTAATATTGGATTAGCCTTGTACTTATCAAGACTAGTAAATTTCCATACAAGTTTCTAACGAGTAAGAATTTTTAAGTTTCTTGGGAAACAATGTAAGCTAGGGTAAAGGGAGCCAGAACAGCAGCAAGTTCAGATACGATACACACCCCAACATTGCTTTTTATCTTCCTACTGTCTAATAAAGTATAAATAATATAAAAAACAAAGAAGAGCGTGGATGAAACTGATTAACCATTTAACTGGTTTCTAGAAAATGAGAATTGAAAAAAAAGACCATGTGCAATGCAACTAATTAAGTAAAACAGTTCATCGAAAGGTATACTGACCTTTAAACAATGGAGTTCAGTTCCATCACGATTATAAATATAAGGGTACCTGCACTAATTAGCACCTTAGCTGCTGTACTCTTATAAAGCTCTTACTCATTAGCTGCATAATTTTCATGTTGATGACATTATAGTAGAAATATGGCATCCTTAATAGACAGAATAAATTTTATAAAGATACAATTGATGAAGATAAATGATTTGCTTTCGTAAGACAGTGTTGCGTCCAATAGAGAGTAAGCACAAAGCACATGTACCAACTAATCGTAGAGATTTTGAAATGTACACTCCATGGATATGCAATCATAAGGAACAAAATTGAATTTTTGGGTCAAAATGAACATTTCACTTGTAATACGAGAAGGCTTACTTTTTCTGAGCAGCAGAAAAAAATAGTTATTTATGCAAGTACGCTGCATCCCGTACTGTTTCTCTAACCTGAGCAAAAAGAACCGGCAATTTTAGGTAAACCAAATCATCTCTTTACTAATGGCCAAAGAAAATATCACTTTAGTCAAATCTGTATCATACAATTAACCTTTGAGTAAGAGATTAACATTGAGCAATAATTGGTAACCTTGAAATACAAGAATAAAGTATAAATTGCAAATAATCATTTCAGTTATATACTCCCAAGCTAATTATATGATTCAGGATACTATTACTTTGCTAATACAAAAATATCAGCATCTCAGGATAGAATGATGCTGCAATAAATCAAGTTTGTTGACCACTTATATAACACTCGAAGCATGTGATCAAAGTTCTACTTCCCTCCAACTTGCTGAACTTCGTAGACACATGGGATGCTAGCTGAGAACTTAGACTAACAAAAAGCAATGACAAGACATATGCACATTCCAACATGACAAAATTATCTATATCCTTTTGAGATTGTCCTATATAATATAAAATCATGAATGAACAACAAAATCACAGATATCATCAATGTTTACCATGACCAAAATCATAGGTTCTCTATAACAAGACCACGTTGGATATTCAGATTCTCATACCAAGATGGCGCCATGGTTAAGCAATGGCTGTAAAATATAAGAACCAGAGAATGAGCCAATGAATCTCACACTACAAAAAACACTTGGATTCAAATGAACTTACTGGCTCTAGGTTTTAATGAGATTAGGTGCAACCTAAAACTTTTAGATTCCCCCACAGATCTATTCGACCATTTGATCCATACTATCATTTTCTTCGACTAAAATTGCAAACAAAGCCTTGCACAAATGGATGGAATGAAAAATAAAATATGTAACACATGCATTCATTTCCTACAATGAATTATAAGAAAAATTGCTCAATATGCCACCCACCTTCAAGAGCAGACATTAAATTGAAACCATAAAACAACCCATACTTTAAGCATTATGATAAAACTCAATAACAAACTGATTTAGGTCAAAGAATAGGTGAATTTCCTTATATACTATTCAAATGGGAACTTTCGATATGCAAAATCAGACTGCCACCCAATGCACAATATCCCCTTCAACTACAAAATTTGATTTTTTTTTGTTTTTGTTTTTGGCAAGAGCAGTGCATACCTGAATCTCCTTAATTAGGTTTAACGTCTTCATATCAACAATAGCCAGATGGCCCTTGCGTCCAGAAGCCACCATATACCGATCATTTGAGGTGAAATCTAGAGTGTATGGACCAAGTTCTGCACATGTAGATGGAATCAAAATGAGTACAATAAAATCGAACAGAACTAAAACAAGCAATCATTAACATCGATTTTATTGACTGATTGCTAATTCTATCTTATAATCCAGCATATAATGCTTGGTTCAAACCACTAAAAACCTTCTGCAAAAACCTTGTCGCAGACAAATTATAAACATTTGGGAAAGTAGGCACCTGGTAGAACAATATCATACTGGTTCCTTGAGCTTAAGATATCAACCTCACGAGAAATAGATTCTTGCTTGATCCTCCATGTCTTCTCAATACCCTCTGCCTCCAAATAGCCACCCTCAATCGGCAAAAGCCACTAAAAACCCAAAAATAGAAAATTTAAGATTAAGAATAATTAAAATACGCACAGACATGTGTGTTCATTAAGAAATACAAAGAACACATTGCTTAAAAAAGAATAGAAAACTCATTTTCTCGATCTTGGCTGCAGTTTTAGCAGATTTCCCATACAAATCTTCCCTTACAGCAAGTTGGCCTTTTAGTTTCTTGTCTTTTAAGCCCTGCAGAAGATAAACAAACAATAAATTCATAAATTAATTTGAAACAAAAAAAATGAATACAAACATTGATTACCTCCATATTAGCAGCCTCCCCTCTAAGATACTTCTTTACTTTCTCGTCCATCTCATCATCGCTATTCTCCTCTGTAGCACCCATTGTTACGAAATGAACGGAAGTTTGGTTGCTGAGGAAAACTCCTACTTCAGTCAGTGACGAAAGAAAAACCTTAGAAACCCTAACAAACCTTAGATGAAAAGTATTCATCACAGCCCGTATCCCCTTTAAAAAGACAAAAGGGATAAATACTATTTATACCCTAAAATAGAACTAGAACTTCAATTTAGTCTTTTTAACATCTTTTGTTATAATTAGGTGACAAATTGGATATTAGCCTTTTATTAAATTGTCACTTTATCAAACAAACAGTAATTCACGACAGCATGATCATTTTATGATTTATAAGTAAATTTAATGATCATAACATAACTTTTAAAACTTTAATGTTCAAATTAAAAATTTATTGATTTTTTGTCTAAAATAAAATCTTCAAAAAATGTCAAACATGTTTTTAATTTAGACAAACGTTATCAACACTATTTCAAATTCATATGATCATGAATGAAATGTACAAATTATACTTTAATTGAATCGAATTTGTGTACAAAGAATTCAAAATGTTTATAACAAGTTCAAATGCCTTGTATTTTCTTCGAATCATTTTCATGCGTAAAAAGATAGAAAGAAAGAAGGAACATTATTTGTTGGAAAATTTTTGATCTTTTGATTGTTATTTATGACAGTAGACATCAAGAAATCTTAATGGGTAGTTCTGATATACGACAACCTAATATAAGACTAAGGAAAGACGCAACCGGAAATGTTAAAAAATTATCATTAACATTATAGGTTGTAAAAATATTAAAAGATTAACATTTTAGGTTACGGTCAACACGAAAATGTTAAAATAAATTTAAATTTTCCGGTTATACATTTCTTTAGCCTTAAATTAGGTTGCGTTTCCTTACATTCCCAAGCCTTAAATTAATTAGGATGTCTTTCTTAGACATTCCCAAATCTCAATAAGTACCTGAATTGTTAAACATATTTGTAATATCTTTTAGGGCAAACTACATATTTGGTGATCCACCTATTACTTAATTTATATTTTGGTCACCCAACTATTATTTTTTAAAATCATGTCTAACATTAACTTTTGATTATGTTTTGATCACCCACTATTAAAAATTAACAATGATGTTAACGTGGTATTTTTAATTATTTTTAATGATGACGTAGCATTATTTTATGATGACACATCAGTATCATCGTTAATTTTTTAACAACGTATGATTAGAACATAACTAAAATATAACATTAAGTATGATTTTGAAGAAAATAATAGTTGGATGACCAAACAAAAACTAAGTAGTAGGTGGGTGACGAAATAGATAGTTTACCCTATCTTTTAAGATAAGCATGAATTAAAATAAATGATTTACCTAATATCTGCAAGGGTAAACTATACATGTCTCTTATTTTATCCGACATTCTCCTCCAAATTCTGAAAGGAAGAATTGCACCTTTTTGTTATCTTGGCCTTCCCTGAGCTTGTTGTGTGACCGGGACACTGTACAAGGACTTCAATTGCCTGCTTATCAATTTGCTCTTATTCAGAGCAAGTTGAAGATCCAACTCATCAGACCACCACTGCTCCAACCCATGAGCCTCAATAAACTTTTGTTTCCACGGCTTTGACATCACGAACAACTTCGCCAACGTGCATATCCATAGGACAAATTTCCGCATTTTTTTCCTCAATTCCTTCTGGATCAGTGTAGTGGAAACAGATATAATCTCTATTATTCACGTACAAGTGAGGCACCCATTTTTTCAATCCAACAGAAGTTTTCTCCCCATATATGTGGCCCAATCTCCCGATCGTTACTGGCCTGAGGTACACTGCTTGAAGGAAGCATCGACTTGAGCTGCTTCCAAGCGAACCCTGCTTTTTCTCCTATATTTCTCAAGCTCATGGCTAGTGAGATAAAAGGTGGATTAAACAAATGAGCATCCACGTATATTCCTTCTTTAGCCAATGCTTTTCCCACTTGTAAAGTAAAGCCAACTCCCAAGGAATGACCTGCAACACATACATTGTTGCTTCCATACCTGTAAGCAACTACTTTTAATGCCTCCAAAGCTACCTTAAATCTTACTGAACCCTTCAGTCTTTACCAAGCTATAAATCGGAGATCATCCTCGACATCCCTCCGGATAGTCGGGCGTTTAAGCAATGTTCCTCGAAGTGCTAAGACAGCCTTTGGTGCTCCACTAGGTCTAACAAGCACAAAGTCGACCAGGGCTGCCGACTGATCCCATTCTAGTACTGCTCCAAATATTGATCCATTCCTTTCATCGATCAAAGTTCGGGCTAACTTGTACTTGAAGGTCATCCACCAGTTTGGAGCAAGGGCAGTTTCCTTTGGTATGCTCTCTTGTCTGTCCAATTCAAGCAGATAAATTGCTTGTATGAAGCATGCGATCATTGTTCTCTTATAGTTTGAATCTTTCCTGTATTATTTGTGAATCGTTCACTAGAGTGATTTCAAGAATTACTCATCTAAAATTCATTCACAAACCTGATCAGTTTCATGAAATATAGAACAAATACCAGGATTTTGTATAAAACAGATGATCCAATGGAGTTGGAAGTGCAAAAGCGATATATGCACATGCAAATATAGCTATGAATTCTCTTGGGTCGAACATAAAATTCATAAATCCTGAACTACTCATGGAATCATTAAAATCCAAGGATCTTAATCAAAGACAGATTTGACGCAAAAAGGAAATGATCCATAGATTCATTTTTGAACAATACATTTGCAAATGTAAATCATACGGCTTCATTCAAAGAAAACTTCAATTTTTCGAGGTTCAAACATAAAATTTCCTATCACAACACAAGAATCTTTCTAAACGACCAAAAACAGTGAGAAAACCCAAAAAATAGGAGCAAATAAGAAAATATTTGTCTTAAATTAAATATTTAAACTTCGTTTTTCAGTCAAGATCGTACAGCATGAAATTATAACCAACTAGAATTGATGAGTCTCTCCAATTAGGTTTGGCGATATTGCGAGGACCGGACACGTGAAATGCATATGGGTGTTCTTCTTTCTTCTTCTTCCACTATCACCACCACTGCTTTTTCAATCCCAGCTTCTCCTCCTCTGCTCCGGGCTTCGCCATCACCAAAGAAACCTGAACCGATACAAGCTGAAATCTAATGCTTCTTCAATTCTCTGTTTTAGCAATCAGCTTAATTTCTTTGTTTGCAAATTGCATGGTTGACAATGTGAATTAGAAAGGGGAAAGCTTTCGGCTAACATAGTTTCCTTTTTGGGCGTTCGAAACCTTCGACTTAAGATGAAGTAACGAAAGGATGAAGTTAATTTATACTTGTAATTATGACTAAACTACACTCATATTACTAAAGTATGAAATTAATAGCAAACATGTCATTGTTTTAAAACATTTTCCTTTGTTAAATATTAGATGGAAATATTGGTTTGGTTGGTTTAGTAATTTTTAATTCTTATTTATATAATTATTAATTTAATCAAATCTAATAATTAATGAATTTAATCTTTATTTTAATTTTTTATTATTTAATCTTCAAAATATAGTTATCCAACTGTTGTTTTAACTATATGAACAAAATAGTTTCAATTATTGTTTTGATCATAAACTCATTTACTTGGCAATCATAAAAATAAATTAGATTGATATAATTGACAAGCATTGTAATTGTCAAATAAATTAACCTAATTCTCAATTTAAATAAAAAACAAAATATATAAATAGTATAGAAATATAGGGTCGATCCACAAGGACTAAGAAATTTTAACTCAATCAGATTTGGTCTTTAACTAATATAAATAAAAATGGTTTATCGAATTAAATTAATAAAATAACAAAGCAATATAAATAATAATTGAAAGAGAGAATGATACGAGATAGCCTATAACTTCGCTTGACTCAACTCGTATTGATCCTTGAAATAGATTTTACTTCGAAATCTTGTCAGTTACAGTCACAAGGTTAAACCCTTGTAACTTGCTCTCTCTCATGTGAATTATCCCCAAAATCATTCTTAAAATTAATCATTGTTGGATTTAACTTTGACTATCGATGTTAACGCCAATATCTTCTTTAATGCTAGAAAAATTCGTGATAGAATTACGTGTCTCAATGAGAATTGAACCCGATCTTGATTTCCCTTAGCGAACCGCCACTAATTTTGTTATTAGGGATTTAAATTTTACTAGTGATTCTCATTCCTAACGGTAAATCAAAACAACATTCAACCCAAAGTGCAATCTTTGAATTGAAAGTGTAAGAATTTAAAGATTAAGTTGATTACCTAACATTGTTTGCCAAAAATCAAGAAAGATGATGAAGCGTTTTCAATCTCACAAACGGATTGAGTCGTTGCTCAGCTATCGGCTAAAAGGTTTAAACAAGATGGATTGAATCATGCTTAGCATTATGAAAATAAAATAATGAAAGAAAAATAGAACTTCAATAAAGTAAGGGAATATAAATTCCAATATGAGTTTAAAGGTTGAAATTAGGGATTTATAACCTAAAAGTTCTAAATAAATAAAATGACTAATTCCTAATCAAACTAAAAACCTTACCAAGAGTTCTAATAAAATAATTAATTCCTAGAAAATAATCAACTAAAATCATAATAAAAAGGTTTATCACAAAAGATATAAAAATAAATTTAAGTCTTGTACTTCAAGAATACGCTTCATCTTATGGATAACCTTATACCAATTAAATTCCAATTAAATATTAAAGATATCAAATCTGCTACTTTTGGGCTAATTAATCCCATAAAACTTATGTACAAAATAAACCCAAAATAAAGATAAATCAATAATATCCATCGAAAATAAGGAGTAAATAACAATAATATATGCAATATAAATCACTCTCAAGATTTTTAAATATGAAAGTTTAAATTTATTAAATATTTTAAACTAAAATGATAGAATATAAATTTTAAAAAATTAAAAAAATTATAATACTATGATACGTTAACATTGGATTTGATTTTATCGACATAGCGACATGTTTGTAACAATTTAAATTGAATGATTTGTTTGTATTTTCAGAAAAAATGTACTTATTTGTTATAAACTCATAGTTAAGTGATTTGGGAGTAGTTTACCCAAAAATTATTTATTACATTGAAATAAATTTAAAAGCAATTTGCAATCTGAGGCTGGAACCTAGTTAGAGGTAAGTGGATTTGGAAGGTTCGGATTTGCAGGGATAAGGTCAGATGGCACAAGATCATTTGGTTTCCTGTCCATATTCCTAAATTTTTCCTTATTTCCTGGATGGCTATCCTTGATAGACTTTCTACCAAGGATAGGCTGATTCGTTTGGATTGACTATGGATGCTGGTTGTGTTGTGTGTGGGACTGGTTTGGAGTCCGGGACCATCGTTTGCAGAATGTCCTTTCTCCATGGAAGTATGGAATGATGTTCTTAGCTCATGTGGTTTTCGATCTGATCTGTTCAGTGGGATGATCGCCTCAACTGGCTGATTGATAACTGAGAAGCAATTCCCACCGTGTGCGGATCTCAAGCTTGCTTGGATTGCCTTCTTGTATTATATGGGAGGAACGCAACTACAGAAGCTTCGAGGTCTTTCTCGTTCTATTGATTGTATTGTAAAAGAATCAGGGAGTCTGTTAAATCAAATGTAGTCCTACATGTATAGGATTGATGATGTTAATAGGAGTCTGTGCATAAGTGAGGTATGTTTTAGCTATGTTTTTTGCCTGTATTGTTACAGCTAAACTGCATTCTTTTTGGATAGAATATAATTTACTTATCCAAAAAAAAAGCATTTGCAATCAAATGACCATACTAACCTCTTTGCTTCCTCGGAAGGAAACTAGAGTCGAATATGAATGTTAGTGGAGTTATAGAGAAAATACTTTATGGGAAATTACATTTGTTTAATATAATTTTAGTAAAATGGCCTTTAGATTAGTTGAAGCAATATGTTACTGTAATAAAGATGCACAACTAGTGCTTGAAAACCAACAACAATTGCTTTTACAGGCTAATTACAGATTACATTACAAACCACTTTCTACTGTTGAAATAATTATGCATACATATTTAGCTAAATTAATATATTAAATAAATTATTTTTGGAACATTTCACATACAAAATTGTAGAAAACACATAAAATCAAATAGTTGTCATAAGAACTGGAATTAAGATTACAATGAGCAAATGAATGCATCTATTCTAGCGAACATTCATTGATCCACTACCACTAGTAAACACATGATAATCAATGGCGGATGAGTCATTTGCATGATTCTCATCGTTCCATCACTTCACTTCTCTGCAGTTGCAATGCGAATTCAAGTCCGTACACCACTTCACTCATTGTCGGCCTTTTCACTCCTTCTGAAGCTAAAAACTTATAGCCACCACCAAATTTTAACATACTCGGAAGGTTGATCTTATCTCGTAAATAAGGATCAATGATCTGATCAAGGCTTCCATTGTTGTAGCAAAGTGTGCCCATTCTGCTAAACTTATTGCATATGATCCTCGGTTTCGATTGATCGTGGTCTTGCGCATATACTTCGCACAAACCACACCGAAAGAATAGACGTCGGATTTCTCGGTTAGTTTTTGAAGACGGTAGTATTCCGGGTCCAAGTACCCGAAGCTTCCCTTCACGGCGGTGCTTATATGAGTGTTGGATAAGTCATTCATTTTAGACAATCCGAAATCGGATACTTTAGCCACCATTTCTCACTTAACAAATATTGTGGTCTTCACGTCTCGGTGAATGATGGCGTGATTGGGACCCTGTGGAGATATTGTAGTCCATGTGCAGCACCAATGCACATCTTTAACCTTTGTTCCCATTGCAACGGGGGATTATCAGTGTTGTAGAGGTGACTCTCAATGTCCCATGAACCATGTAGTCTATACAAGGATCATTTCCTTGTTCTCTTCGCAGTATCCGATCAGAGAAACCAAATTTTGGTGTCGGAGTTTGGAAAGCATCTTGATTTCGGTCCTAAACTCGAGCACCCCTTGTTGTGAACCTGGATTCAAGCGTTTGATTGCTATCGGGGTGGAGCTAGCATTAATGAATCCTTCGTAGACGTCACCGAATCCTCCTCTTCCGATGATGAAATTACCATCGAAGTTGTTTGTAGCTGTTTGATCTCCTCAGTGAGAAGAGGCGACAAGTATCAGAAGGTGGAACAGAGATGCTGTTGTCGGCTAATTTATTGGAACGATTCTTGAAAATCACTACAAGCAAAAGAAAGGGTGACAAGCCGGAAATCGAGCACAACAGCAAAATTATGTCCTTTCTCATGATGGAAATTATTGTTTTGGATCGGGATTAGGTCCGGCTAAAACAAGATTGTTGCTCATTTGAAGATTTCTACCCCATTCAGGATTGCATCAGAAAAAAGAGTTCTCCAA